ACCCTGTGCGATCTAACAGGTCTATGGGAGGTAATTGGCAGCAGGCGGTCTCTCTTTTTGGGGGGTTGTGCACGGGCGTGCCGCACCCATAATGCAATGTGTGACACACACACCCCAGTGCACATGCGTGCATGAGAGGCATTCCCCCTATTTTTTGCATGCTTTTTTCACCCTCCCCAGGCTCCAGAGGCTTTATAGGAGCCTGGGGAGGGTGAAAACAGCCTCCCCTGCCCGCCCCCCCCCCGGAGGTGCTCTGGAGGCTTCAGGGACCTTCAGGAGGTATATAAGCCTGCTATTGCTATAAAGAGGAGGCCTTCTATGAAAGGCTATAAAGAAGTGAACGACTTCCAAATTGAGCAAAATATTTCAGCTTCATTCCCTCTAATGATTTTCCCATTTGCTGGCAATGAAGGGGACCTTAGCCAAAGAAAGTACCTCACCCCCTGCACTCTATGGTTTTCCTTCTTCCCAAGATAGCAATAGCACTTAGACTTATATACCGCTTCACAGTGCTTTTGCAGCCCTCTCTAAGTGGTTTACAGAGTCAGCCTATTGCCCCCAACAATCTGGGTCCTCATTTTACCAACCTCGGAAGGATGGAAGGCTGAGTCAACCTTGAGCCTGGTGAGATTTGAACTGCCAAATTGCAGGCAGTCGGCAGAAGTAGCCTGCAGTACTGTACTCTAACCACTGCACCACCGCGGCTCAGGGGGAGTTTGCACAGTTTCAGAGCCAACCAATATAAATGGGTAAATTATCCTGGTGGTTTCCAAGCCCATCTCTGACCCTTGTTTGTCTTTTTCTCCAAGGATTTGAGCTGGAACAAATATATAGACAAGAACCTGGAATTTTATGACCAGTTGCTTTTGGATACCATCCGGCGTGACCAGGATCCGGTGGTGAGGGAATACATGCGGTTGCTTGCCCTGTGTCACACTGTCATGGTGGAGGAGAAAGAAAGTGAGTAGACTAGTAGTTGATTCTACTTTTGGTCATCTCAGTTTGGTAGGAGTTGGTCATGAGCAAAGCTGGAACAGGCCGAGACTGGAGATAACAGAAAAATTCCCAGCAGCCATCTTCTTTTTTTTAAAAAAAATTATACCCTGCCTTTATTGTTTTTACACATAACTCAAGGAGGTGAACATATCCAACATGCTTATTCCTTCTCTTATTTTCAACCTTGTGAAGTGGGTTTTGCTCAAAGAGAGTGACTGGGTCAAGATCACCCAGCTGGCTTTCATAGCTAAGGCGGGATTTGAACTCAAGAGTCTCCCGCTTTCTAGCCTTGGTGCCTTAACCGCTAGACCCGTGATGCCACCAGTGACACACAGAGCCCTCTCTGCGAGCACGCGAGCCTTTGCCTAAGCTCAGCTCCACTGCTCAGGCGTGCACGCCTTCGGACAGCCAGCTAATTTTTTGGGGTTGTGCGTGCATGTGCGGAGGGGTCATGCATGGATGCACAGGGAGAGTGCTGGGATGTGTGGAGGCCCCCCCCCCCATGGCCCGTTTGTTTGTCCCAGGAAGCTACAGGGAGGCCTACTGGGCCCAAAATGGGGCGTGGGAGGGTCATGTGTGCATGCGCAGGGGCCGGGGGGGCGCACGTGCATTGCAATATTTGGGCATGTGACGACAAAATGGTTAGCCGTCACTACACTAGACCAAATTGGCTCTCTGAATACTGGATCCTTTTGCACCCCAAATAATAGATTTTATGTGGGCTTCACGTTCTATTGTGATCTTCAGGAAAGGGTTTAAACTGACTTCAGCAGAGAGACACTCAAACAGAAAGTTCAGATCATGGGAACTGGAAAGACTGCCTGTCTAAGCTATGTTCTAGAAAGACTTCAGACATGCATTTGCACACTTTTCCAAGAAGCCATTTGTCTCTGATAACCAGTACAATGCCTAATCTTTCTAACATTACTCAGACAGGCCAGCTGTAGGTCTTTTAAGCACACTGGGGAGAGGCTGAAAAAAAGATATCCTCTGTTTTGGTTGTTGTGCTGGCATCTCAGCCCATCTGATTTGCTTGACTGCATTTCGTTGCCAATAGGAGAAGGATGCCGGTATGGCTTGACATTAGATCTGAAGAGATTAAAATCTTCTTTTGAAACTGCAATTAATTCGACGACACCTGAGCCACTCTCTTTCTAATCCGATTACCTGTCCGCTTGAGGCATGACCAAGGAGGGCGTCTCCCCAAGTTACAAACAATGCTGGGCTCTACTGTGACACCTCATCATCAATGCTGAAAGAGATACAGTTTTGTTTTGAGAAACAAAATAGGGGTTGGCGACGGGTATTTTTAGGTAAGCTCCCCGTTAGGAGAGCGAGTGCGTTTAGAGAAGCGTTGTGAGAGTTGTGTTGGAGAACACACAGACCAGCATACAGAGACACTGCAGTTTAAATAGGCTTTTATTTTCATGGAAATAGAAGTATCAGAGTCCAACAAACAGCCCAAGTCATACACGGATAAGGCAGTCAGTCATCAATGTCTTTCAGTTAAGGGATAATCCAAATAACATAATCCAGTATCATATAATCAGTACAGTACTCAAAGTTTGCTAGCAATTGCAAAACTTACAATACCTCACGGCAATTTCTAACAGCCAGCTTCCAGAACACTCAGATCAGATCAGCCCAGCATCTAATGAACAGAGAGCTAACAGTCATTCTGGCTTCCTCTTATGGCCGATTGAGGAGAACAGCAACCAATCACATTTTACAGTATGATTTAAAGAAACAGGTATAGCATTGTGTTGGGGCCCAGCAGGAGCCGTTGGAGCTGCCACCAGACTCCAACAGCGAGAGGCCCGATGAGTCGGCTCTGGGGGATGTGGACGACTCTGGACAGGGTTCCGACTCCGAGCAGGGCGCAGAGAGGCTGGTTGGCCATTAGGAGGCACCTGAGCCTTGGACCAGTGGGGAGGAGACAAGGGAGTGTGAGCCAGATGCCAGTAGTGAGTTGTTCCTGGATGCACGCCATCGAAGAGCTACAAGGCGTCAGGAACAGTTGCGCAGTTACAGGAGGTGATTGCACTCAGCTGGTGGTCATTAGGCTCCTCTCCAGACTATAAAAAGACTCCTTGTGCACATACCCCTCTTTGCAGAAGTCAATGCAGGATTGAATGTCGGAGGACATTGCTGTGAGCTTGGCAAGCTGGATTTCTGCCAAGCCTTATCTGTGTTTATTGCTGCCCAAGCTTGTCTGTGCTGGTTTGCTGCCAAGCACCTGTT